AAGTAACTGCTCCTCATCAGAATGAAAGGCCAGTGTGAATTTAAGTGAAAGCTATGCACAAACTTATAGGGTGCTGAACTGACATATTAAAAAAAGTACTTAAGAGTTTTGGGGGGGGGGGGGTAGTAGCCCCAGCAGGTTTCTTTTGAACTATTTTTAATGAATCTTGTCTTAAACTATGTTACCCATTTTCCTAAGAGATCACTAACAAGTGTTTCATGCCCAACTTCCTCATACCCAGAGCAGCTTTGGGTATGAGCAAGATGGGTTCCTGAGAGTAATGGTTCCTCTGCAGATCCTTATTCTGAAACCTTGGGCCAGGTGTTTGTGGTATTCAGAGATTTCAGGTTTTAAAAAGATGATGCACCATAAACCCTGTGTATTTTGTAATACACTACAGGGCGAGTGTTATAAATCTCCAGGTTCACATAAGCAAACTGAAGAAAATAGCACAAGATTTTAAGTTTCTAAGTGACAGAGTGTGTGTACCTTTTAGCTCTAGTACTAAAGGAATCACTGCCATATAGGAAACCTCATTATTGTGGGGTTCAAAAGACAATCCTAGACAGAACCTAGACACAGAACCGAGAGACAGAACCTAGACACAGAACCTAGAGACGGAACATGGCAAAAGATCCTGGACAGAAACTGGCAACAGAACCTAGAGACAGAACCTAGCGAGAAAACCTGGCTGAAGATCCTAGAGACAGAACCTGGCTACAGAACCTGGATAGAACATGGCATCCTGGAGAACCTGGCTGGAGAACCTAGCAAGAGAACATGGACACAGTACTTGGCTGGAGATTGTGGCTAGAGATCCTGGCAAGGCTGCTGATCAACTGAACGCTGTCTCCGTGTCATTCCTTCTTCGCCGACTCTGTCCACACCTTTGGGGACCCCTGGACCTGTTGGGGTTGGACCCCAGCACAATTGTATATTTGCAGTTGCAGCATATTAGCTAATGATTTGTAAGTTTTATCTATTTCATTCTATAGTGTACACTCAGCTCTTCTCAATTATTTACTTTATGAAATTCCCACTCATCTTGGCTTTCTTTCCACTGTAATAAACTGAGTAGTATTTTTCACTTTTCTTTGTCAACTCTTCCTTCTTTTCCTGATCACTAAATGTTGTTATTTTTTCTTATTTACACTATCTTGTTTTTAGTAATCTCCTCCAACTTCATTGCTTTGGATACTGGTCTATATCTTGAAGACACTCAAATGTATATGTCCAGCTAGGTCCTCCCCCAATTGCCTCTTAAACATTTACACTTGCTACCCAATAAATATTTAATACTTAATATGTCTATATAACAATTATTAATTCCTATCCCACCAAATCTACTGCTCCTCGAGGCCCTTATCCATTTCAGTAAATGGCACCACTGGTCACCCTGTTTCTCCGATTAAAGATCTAAGAGTAATCCTTTATTTATTTCTTTTCTCACACCTACATCAATAAATCCTATGGACTCTGCCTCCACTGTGATCCTCGTCTCTCCATCTGCTCTGCTACAACTCTCACTTGGCCATTTCTTAGCTTGACAGCTATAAAATATCAACTGGTACAGTTTGAAAATTATTTAGCAGCATC